GTATTTAGCATCACTAAACCCCGTTTTTCACGGGCTTTCATTTGGTATAAAATTCATCATACCTCCGACTCGGGATTATATCGTTACCCCCCTTGAATAATATTCTTTCCGACCCTGTATTTATGGATCTGTCAGGTCCCTACTGGTTACGATGTCGTGGATAATGTACGGAAATTTCGGGATTCGTTTCCAAATATTTCCGAACGTTTCTGTCAGGATCTGATCGGAATTTATCGGAAATTGCCCGAGGAGTTCCGATCTGGAAGCCTGCTTCCATGAAATAGCCGGAACGTGGTAGAACCGGCCGGTTCCGGGCCGGATTTGTCGACCTGGGACTGTAGGCGAACTTTTTGTACATACCTTATTTATTATTTAAAAACATTTTAAAATGTTCTTTGAATGAAAAAAAAAAGAAATAGTCATAAATCCATAACCTTTACATCCAATAATTATTGAATGAATATCTTTACATGATGATGATGTTTGTATAAATAATAATCATAATTAATGTTGAAATAAAAAAGAAAATTCCAATAGAAATACTAATTATTAAAGTAAATTTCTTTTGATGTTCTTCTCCGTTGTCTTGATTCAGCTAAATTTATTGTTTGATGATGATGAAAATGAAGAATTTTTGATAAATAATACTTTAGCAATCAAAAAATATGTTTTTATATTATTTAATCAATCATGCATATCGTTGAGTTATACATCACTTTTCTTTCTTTTAAACAAAAACTTGATTAAAAATATCAATAACAGTTGTTTGTTCAAATGAAATTCTTTTTAAAGTTTCAAAATATTTAAATTTAACTCATTATTAAAAGAAATACTTTAGATGAAATGTTTAATATTAAATCATAGTTTCATCTATTTATTTATCATTTCGTTAATTCTACTTAGTATTTCTTTTTCTTTAAGTTGATCTTTCTAAACATTATCATCAAATTATTTTAATGAATGATACAGCATATTATAAAAGAATTTTTCTTTATATTAATTTAAAGGACACCGTCGAATTTGAGCATGAATCTGCCACTCTCGTGAGGAAAAATTTCCTCTATTCAGAGAGAAAGAGCATAAGATTCTGAGTCTATCAATGATTATTCCAGCCTTTTAAATTCTATCCAAAATATTCACTTTTCCACGGGTTTTCATTAAAAACTTAATAAAAATCCATGTATTTTGTCGATGTATATTGAGTTTTTAATGAAAACCCGCGGAAAAGTGAATATTTTGGATAGAATTTAAAAGGCTGGAATAATCATTGATAGACTCAGAACAGTGGCGGCGGAGCCATTGAGACTCATGAGGCTTGAGCCTCACTCAAAATTAAGTCAGTGAGGCTCAGCCTCATCTATTTTTGGGGTCCAATATTTCTTTTTATTGTCATGATAATTTGATATATTAAATATATCACATATTCATGTACATGTCTGACACATTGATATCATAATGAGATCGAAATATTTCTTACGTATTTTCTTTCTATTCTATATTTCACAAATTCTTCATACGATTGTATATATATACATCTTGTGAATTTCTTTTTCTTTCCTTTCGTTTGCATATTCACCTTCTACGTTTACTATTTAGGTATTTTCCCTGTTTTCTTTTAGCGTATCGTTTTGTTTGCGTGTTGGTTTTTCCTACTCTACGTATATTATATTCCTTGAATGTTTGGATTTTTCTAAGAACGTATCTATATCTATATATTTATACCGTTTCCACAATAAATATGTAGTTCACACAGATCTAATTCTTTTATTATCGATTAATTACAAGTAACGCTCGCCGAGGCCGACTCGCTAAGCCCTCGACTGATTGACTTTTAATTCGACTCTTGTCATAAGACCCTTCCAAAGGTGTATCAATGCACTGATCTCGCAGTCGGTCATCGGCGTCCCTTCGGTCCGCCACTCCCGACTGCTCGATATTGTTTATAGCATATACACGTCCTCAGATGGCACTCGCCTTCCTCTCCGACACTTCACACACAATTTAACTACTTCAACTAAATCTATACCAAGAAAGCTTTCAGCTGGAGCTTGTCTCTTGTTTACTAGACGGTATAGGAGGAAATCCATCCTGACTCTCATCTATAGGGTCATACGACAAAAGCATCTAAGATATTCAATGCCTGATTCATGCATCCTAGACACATACCTAATTTCTCAGCCTTACATCGCGTGATACCTGATTGGTCAGTTTTGTAATCTACGATAGCTACTGATCAGTCTCAGCTATCTCCCCACGTTATTCGTGAAGTTCCTGTTAATATTGGTTTTGAATCATGATGCAAGCACACACCATTCAAACGATCTTTTCTAATACGATTCTCCCTTCGCACGAAAGAACATCTAATTAGTCCTCGTACCACTCCTCAATACACTATTGATATAGTCAAATTAGAGATTTAGTAAATTTCGAGCTAAGGCAGTACGGCATATCTCTCGGATATACAAGCGTTGTTCGGCCAATGGTTGAATCCATTTCAAAGGATTTCTTTTTAAATTAAAGCATTTCGGAAAAGGGGGGAGTGTTTTTTACCTTTGACGTCGCCGGCACAATTCTTCTCATCCCGTCCTTTACTCCACCATCAACATCCAGCCCCCAGACTCCTCCCAAACGATCCTTTATTGAGGTGTGAGCGTTTTCGGAAAAATGTTTTTTTGAACTTTGACCCTTGGCCCCCGATCCTCACCCCCACCCCCAACCAAGATCTAGCCTCAACACCCCTCCCAAACTATGTTTTATGAAGCTTTGAGCATTTTCAAAAAAATGTTTTTTTGACCTTTGACCCTGACACAGACAGACAGACAAACAAACAAACAAACTTTTTTTTTATATGACCCTCCTTTCAGTCGAGGGAACTTCTCATCTACATCTTGTTTACAAAAAGAGTACTGTTCCTCAAAATGGTGAAAAAGTCCAAAATTTTCCTTCACTTTTAGAAAACGACTCCCTAGCATGAAATAACGAGCAGACATCCATCTACAATTCGACTGAAGCTTCGAGCACAACTGTTGCATCAGTGAGTTTGGTTAATGATGATTCAATACATTTAGGATAATGAAGTCACTCGATGAGAACTTGTATCAGTTCGAAACGCGTCGTGACAGTTTGTCTCACCCTTCAAAAAATGTGCTTCTTTTACTTTTTGAAATTTTATAAATAAATAGTTCGCTAATAGTTCAGAAGCATCATATCTACGAGAAAGAGCTGAGCGAGTCTCCGGACGAGCGTTACTTGTTATAAATTGCTATTTATCCAAATGTTGCGATCTCTCACCGACATAGTATCTGCTTCAAAACGAGCTCAAATTTCTGTTGATAACCTAAAGGAAGCCTTCTCTCTCGTAGACAAACGAATCCATCAGGACGAACAAGCAAGGCTCCTTGAGAAGAAATTCCGGCTGCGGTCTGCCATTGACAAACAGGGTCTGTTAGATTCCCCTTTGGTCCTGTAGTATAACAATCTATATCAATGTTCAACGTAGTTCTAGCTTTCCTTGCAGTTTCACACCATGCTTCGCCATCTGATCCAGCTAACAGCACAAACGATTTCCCAAACAAATCAAGCGTGGAAATGCGCTTGCCCTGATGCTCAACCCAAACATGAGGCGCACGACTCCCAGGTCTCCCGTCAAGTGCTAATGCTAGAGAGGGTATGGACCATGCTTTCCAACTTATTCCACCTAACGGGAATGTATTTTCCGCCGCAATCGCTTGTGATGAGTATGTATAACCATGCCCGGAAATTATGAACAGTCTTTGGAAAATGCTCGATATCAACGATAAACTTTTCTTCATAGTGATTAAACCTCGTTCATCTGCAGCAGCCGCAGAAACCTCTGCGGCAGTTTGTCCAACAGGTAGTCGTTCGACATCGTAGGTCGATAATAATCCAGGTTCTGCGTCACCTTTTAACACAGCAGCGAGTTTCCAAGCTAGATTATGAGCATCCGCCACACCAGAGTTTGCTCCTTGACCAGCCCAGGGCGGCATTTGGTGCGCCGCGTCGCCCGCAAGAAATATTCGCCCATGTTGAAGTTTTTCTGCAACTTGTACCGATGGTTTCCAGGGAAGAATACTCTTGATATCGATGTCAATGTCAGGAATACCCAACGCAATCCGTAATAACACTTTACACCGTTCAGGTGTAAAATCCTCCGATTTTTCACCCTTTGACGGGTCATAGCAGAGATGAAACACCCAGCGATCGTCGTTGTTGATCGCAGTGAATAATCCAGAAACTTCTGGACGGTTGATAATGCAGAGACTAAACTCGCGCTGACGTACAAGTTCTTTTAAATCAGCATGGAAGAGAATATTTAAAAGATGACCCATTGTTCCTCTCCCGCTGGTTTTTACACCAAGTCTTTTACGAATTGGACTTCCAGCTCCATCGGCAGCAATTAAGTAGTTCGCGCGTACTATATATGTGGGAATGTCCTCGTCACGCCGATGTAAAGTTGCCGTAACGCCATCCTCGTCTTGTTCAACATCTAAACATTCTGTGTAAAACCGTGCATCAACGCCTCGTTCTCGTGCAGTTTCCAACAGAACAGGCTCAATCATATCCTGCGTTCCCCACGCGCCCGTCACCGAACTTAAACTCGTGAATAATCCTGCAAGAGAAAACTTTCTCTCTCCTTCTTTCCGAGGTTTGGATTCGATTACTTCTTTGAGGGAAGTACCAGTGTAAATACCCATACTTGGGGATAATGTTGAGCCAGCTTGTCGAATGGCCTCCTCAATTCCGAGACTTCGGTATATCTCCATAGTTCGCGCGTTGACGCTGCGGGCTCGGGGATGTATTGAAGTGCCGGAATGCCGTTCAATGAGAATGCAATGGACTCCATGGTGTGAGAGACAGATGGAAGCTGATAGACCGACGATACCACCACCGATAATAAGCACTGGAACCCGAGTTTCGGTCATAGTGTGAACAGTGAAATATTTGAATTAAGTCAGATTAATTGTAGTATCTAGAAAGCTATATTTGTTAGAAATTGGAGAGTGATACATGTTTATGGAAATTGTCTAAAAAAGCCTCGCTTGGAGGATTTGACTATTTTATAAAGTTCATTGCTCTCATAAACATCATTTCTCAAAACCTTACAAGCAGATAAGTTCAAAACTATCGCTTAAACCGATACGATATTAGTGACTCGTAAGGTTTAGCCCTTCACGGCGCAAGCTGATACAATTAGTAAAATATTTCTTCGAAAAAAAGTTATGGCCACAAAATTCTGCCACAGAAAGTCGGTGGCATGGGCAATACTTTTTGCTAATGATGTGTCTAATTGAAGAACATCTACCGGGTTGAAAATAATATTTTGTTTGGGAGGTAATGCAATAATCTGAAACACGATATTTGATGAGTTTTACATCAAATGAAAGCCCGTCAAAAAATTGGGGATTATTGATACCAAATAGAAGATGTTAGTAGGACTTTGTACTGAACTTACGAAAATATCAGAAACTGACCGCTTGGTTAAGTTACAAAAACAAAAGATCAGTAATTCGAAAACGGATTAAACACCTTTGCCCTGAGTGCTTCAACGTAGTGCGATAGAGCTCGTCGAGTTCTGCAAAAGTGTCTATGATAAAGCTTTTAGAAATTATTTTCTACGACAAGAACCACAAAAAGGCGGTCAATTTGTGACATTTTCTGAAGTGCAATACCAAGTTCTACTAACATCTTCTATTTGGTATTAATAATCCCAATTTTTTCGACCGGCTTTCATTTGATGTAAAACTTATTAAACATCCTGTATCAGATTGTTGCGTCACCTCTCAGGCAAAATATTATTTTCAACCCCGTACATTTGATGGAGAAGCTAACTTGACTAAACCATCAGGATCATATTTTAAGTCTCAACTACAAAGAGGAATAAGATTATTGCTATAAGGTGATTTGTTCGCCAGCAGCTGCTTGGTCATTTCAAAACCTAATTATTTGTTAGCTCCAGTAATGAAAACGAGGATTTTTCCTTTGTCTTCTTGATAATATTTTTAGATAATTTATTTGTTTGTGAGCAGAAATATGTACTAAATAACTGACGTTGAATCTAAAAAAAATAATCAATCAAACAAGAAATTATAACTGCGTTGTAACGCTGATAGTTTGAAAATAAACTTGGCGAACAAAAAGTGTCCTTTTATCTGAAGCAGAAGAACGTAAATATGTTTTCTTTTTCTCCCTCCTTTTTTGTTGCATGCAAAAGGAATCATTCGGTGTGTTATTGTGAACTCTGACGTATCGTTTGTATGAAAAGTACGTTTCGGTACGCACGTATTAACATGAAAGAGAACACCACATACGCATTATTACATATTTAAAGTCGTACTGTGTTTTACATGCGCTATACAACAAAAACCATCTAACTGTTGAACTTATTGAAGAAATAAAGCGATATTTGTTGAATCGATAAAAAGTCAAGAGTGCAAAAGAGGATTTCCAGACTTCTGAAGTAGGGATCTACCGCTCATGCTCGCGCTCATGAGCATTCATGTGAGCGTAGGCGTTTTCTTTTGAAGATGTCGATAGTAAAAATATGATCATTCATAGTTATGTACTAGTTGTAATCATACTGCAGCAATAAAGGAAATAAAACCAATAAAAATTACATTTATTAATATCACTTAGGTCAACCAAAAGTAGTGGCGGAGACTTTTTTTTTCTGGTAAATAAATTTAAAAAAAAATTTATCGGTCGACAGAGCGTCTTTCGCTCTATCATTCTATGTTATTTGATCTGTATCTGTATAAGGTTATAACAGAAAATTTTCGACGAGAATATTTTTTGGTATAGTCTAGCTGTTAGCAATATGAGAAAAAAAACATTTACATGTGATTTTTTCTCGTTCTTTCTTGTCCTTTTATCTTTCATAGGAACTCGTCGTCATCTATGTGTTTCGTAGGGGACAACGAGTAACAATGATAAGTAGACAAATATAAGGGTAAGATTATCAATTGTTTATTTTATTAGATGTTTGAGATAATCGCCTTCGTCATCAATGCACAACTACATTCTCTCAACCTATTTCTCAAACGTCTCTTTATATTCTTCTTTGTTCAGAGAGTACATAACATTGACTGCAGCATCACATAATGATTATGAATCATTGTAATCAGTCAGATTTTCTTTGATAAAGTCTAACAACTCAAATTGGATAGGTGACAAGTCGGAAACGTTGGCTGGATGTGATTTCACTGTGAGACCTTCTGATTGAAGATAAATAGCTGCATCTTTATGAATATGTAGTTTTCTATTTCCATGATGAATTTCAGTAGCACGCGTTCCATATGAAAGCCTTTGACGTTCAAGTTCATCGACGAGAGGACGTAAACAATTGTTGATATGATACTAATGATCCATAGTTTCTCCATGTTCGTAACGATGAATGACAAGGGGACCATCGAACTTGAAAAAGCTGGTAAATAAGGTCTTTGCAGCATACCTAATTCGTCAACTTACAGTAAGTAGAGGATCTCCTCTTTTCAACCACGCTGCATTTTATGACTATCGATCGATTTGCCTACGGGGAAACCACGGTCCATCACTAGTTACTATGTTACATAAATCGCCATGTTCCTTACTGAAATTTTGCCAAGTTTTCTTTACATATCCGAGCTCGTTCAATCCGTTGTAAATTGGTTAGATCTTTTGGTACATAACATGTCGTGATTTTTCTCAGGTTCAGATGCTCGACGATGATTCGACGAGTTGTGCCACAACCTAAAACAGTTTCGTATTCTAATTCTTCTATTGTGAGATAAGAATCATCATCGATAAGAAGACGAATTCGTTCGATATTTTCAAATGTCGTTTCGGTAATGGGTCTACCAGATCGTGCTTCATCTTCGATTTCTTCTCGACCATCACGAAACAGCTTAGACCACTTTTCCACTGTTTTGAGAGAGGAAGCCTGATCACCATGAATAACTCTTGCTTGAGTATTAAGTGCAGTACGCACCAGAGACCGACGATATTGCAAAAATTCAATACTGTCTCGTACCGCATACCGTCTTCTGTAGTTCCATACCGTACCGCACCGTCTCGCCTGATAATTATCTGATACCGTACCGTACCGTTACCGCGCAGGTTCTGAGCATACCGTACCGTCGACAAAAAATTTTCGAATTTTTTTCAGAGTGATTCTAACTTGTTCCCTTTCATATATGTCATATAAGTTCCTTTTTCGAAGAACATCGATATGAAGGTATTCATATACATAGACTTATAATTATAAACATATGTGTAAAAAGTATTTCAAGAATGCATGATATGATTCCTCTGACACGCAGTGTTGCGCAGCTTTACGAAAACCATCATCATCATAACAAAAGATTTTATATCTGTCTATATCTGTTGCACTATTAAGTGTTTTTATTTCTTTAGAATGGGCACTAAGAAATCAGACAGTTTTGGAGTGACTACATAGAAAAATCTATTTTTGGGAAGGTGATGAAGTCTCAGATAACGACATGGTGGGATCGTTTTTTATCACTTAATTCAGTTATCTTTGTTGAGAGATGTGTTGCTGTTTGAAACTTATGAATATTGTTAAGCAACTCTGGTGTGAAACAAAATTTAAAAACTTCTCTGAAACGTCAGTAATATTGAACTTCGTGGAAAAAAGCAAATGAATGTTAGCAATAGTTAGAATTACATGAGTTTGATCATTTGGATTATCGAGAATAACATATGTAATCCTATTGCGCATTAAAAACTGTTGAATCATTAAACGATTATATTTTTATCACGCATGGAAAAGTAACGGTGAAAAATGTAAATATATCTACATATATAATCTCAGATATTTTATTTATTTTCGTTTTAATCTCAAGTTTTAAATAAATTAACAATTTTAAACTAAGAGCTACAAATGTATTTGTAGATTGAATTGTGCAGCTAAAGATAGGACGCGGCGTTCATTTTTTAGTTAAACTAAGCCACATCAAGGGATTTGACGACAGTCAAGACGTACCTTAGCTTGGTTTCAGTAAAAGAGTCGATGAGTTACTTATCTGTGCTTTTCATTAAACAATATCATTAACGAGAAAAAGCAAAAGGTTGGCGATGATAAACTTTCTCTTACAGCATTTGTTGATATCAATTGGTTGTAAATATACGACAATGATGATAGTTCACTGACATCGTAATCTGATGTATTAGGATCGAATTAATTTTCGTTCGTTTTTGATAATAGAACAAGAAATATAAAAGATGAGAATAAAAGATGAGAATAAAAGAGGGAGAAATATTTTGTTTTATTGAATTCCTGTCGAGATTTAAACGCGAATGGAAAAACTATGATACCTATCCTCGAAAATCATTGTTAGAAGGCTTCTTCTGACTATGGCGCGGGAGTGCGGTATAGCCATCTAATACCGCATACCGTCGGTCTCTGCCACATATATCCTGCTTATCTATTTCCTGTGTCCAAGAAAAAATTTATATAACTTTTATTTCACATATATACTAAACGTATGGAACTAGTTTCTTCTCAGATCCTGTTCTTACAAGAGTCCTCTTTGTGAAAATATGCAACGGTTATACTATGTATTACGTCAAATTAGAAACATTATCATTTTCTCATCTGAATAACATTTTAATCGTATTTATTTGAAAAGAAAAGTATTCAGTTAACCACGGCATCCACTTTGTTGTTGAGCTGTGTTGAATGCCTTCGGCCCAAATGCATTGACAATATTAAAAAGAGTGTTTCCATCCACGTTACACAAAACTTGTCGAGTATTAGACCACCATTCGAACCAACCACCAAGTTGATCACATGCAGAATTGAGAAATACTTGAAAATTATTGTCACATCGCGATTGTGTTTGACCCAAGGGGGAAAAGCCAGACTTCATCTACTTCAGATGTTATTTGAAGTATAGTGAAGTACCAATGAAGTAGGAGTGAAGTAGGAGTGAAGTACAAGTGAAGTGAAGTACCGGTGAAGTAGTTGAAGTCTGAAGTCTCGCTTTTCCCCCGTGACTCGCTACAACCATCAATCAGTTTTATCAATCGCTGAATCTCTCTATTGCTTGTATATCGATGTAAATGTATAATTTCATATGATGACGAAGAAACATGTAATGCCAGATATAATTCACCTAGTTGATTGTTAAATTTTGCTTTTTCTGCCGCTTTAATCCAGTTTTTGAACTTTTTTCCCTTGTAAATAAGGTGGTGGATGATTAACATTTCGAAGATGATATGGAATGTATTGATTTGATATTTTCTTGAAAATATGAATGTATACCAAAATCTCAAATAATCAATCGAGTGATAATATAATTTCATTTGAAATCATTAGAAACAATAATATCGATGGGAATGAATATAACTAACGGGTGCGCCATAAAGAATGAGGGGTTTGATATTTTTCAAATATCTCAGTCATTTTTCACTCGATCGATTTGAATTTTTTTAAAAAGATGCATCAAATGATTCTCTACAAAACCAAGTACTTTTATTTTCATAAGTAATTTCCTTTGTTTTTGGACAATCGATACAATCGATACAATCGATTTGTCCATGAAAAGCAACTTTCAAAGACAACATCGTCTCTGATTTTTTTAACAGAACGTTTTAGTTCATCAATTAGAGTCTTTTTTTATGTCACCTTGTCCCAGTTCATTGATTGAGCAAAATCGTTCCAAATACAATAGTCCAACGGGTTTAAGTCGGGACTATCTGGAGGCCAATGATCCTTGTCGATAAACGAAGGAAAGTTTTCGGCACACCAATCTTGAGTTTTTCCGTGAGTGTGAGGTTTCGCACCGTCTTGCTGAAAGACCCAGTCGTTGCCAAACACCTTATTACCATATTTTAGAGCTATTGGTAACACTTCTTTTATATATCGATCGTGATCAACTGTGCCTTTCTCGAAAATAACTAAAGGTGACACTCCTTTAGAACAAACTCCGAGCCAAACCATAAGTTTTTGAGGAAATTTCCGTTTTTGCCTAATACCACCTCTGATATAGGCATCTGTACGATTTACGGCCTATGTTCGGTCATTTTGAGAATTATAAATTCCGTCTATGTCGAACATTTTCTCGTCAGAAATCAGAAACTTCATCGTGTCTTCTCTTCGAAAATTTGTTCGTATTCAATTTGCAAACTTTATTCTTTTTACTTTATGCTCATCTGTGAGCAATGGTTCAGTTTGGACTTTATAGGCCCGGAGTTGAAGATCATCCTTGAGTACTCTCCGAAAACTTGTTTGAGAAATGACCAAGTCACGAGATAACTTACGAGCGGACACGTTTCGTCGACTCAATCGTTTCTTGAGTTTTTGAATAGCTGCTTTTGTTCGAATGATTCGAGGACGCCCAGGTGACTTTGACAGATTGATTGAGCCACTTTCACGTGTTACTTTGCACCATCGTTCAATTGTTGACAAACCAATGGCACCATTTAAATCATGAAAGATTTTTGTAGAACCATCACCTTTTTCGTACTTTGAAAGTGCGAGATTTTGTAAGTCTTTACTTTTCATAATATGAAAAGGCAACAGTATAATTAAATCTAAAACATCGACTACCGTTTTGTAGAGAATCATTCGGTGCATCTTTAAAAAAAAATCAAATTGATAGAGTGAAAAATGACTCAGATATTTGAAAAATATTAAACTCCTTATTCTTTATGGCGCACCCGTTAATTCAAACAATCAGGAAGGCAGAGCAGGTGACATATTACGTGTGACTCCCCTCCCCTCGCTTAAAAATAAAAGAAAAGAAAGTGTTTTTCTATTAAAATTTTTGTTAAAATACAGTGGGGCCCACCGGTGGGCCCCATCGACTCGAAAGGGTTAAGTGTATCGATTGCTTATTCTATTGATCTGAAACTTTACGGATTGATTCCTTATTCTCTTTCTTATCGAGAAGCGTTTCACAAGTATAGGTCGTCTGCTTGTTTGTATGTTCGTACCTTGATGGTAGGTCAGACAATAATTTATGACATAGGAATGAGTAAGATTTTCTATAAAACTCGAGTAAAGATTTTTAATTGGAACCAACTCAAATGTGAGCATAGCTTTTTGAAATTCTATAAATAAATAGTTGACTGGGTGTTCAAAAAGGTTAATATGGTAGTGCGTCTTTTATTAGTAAAGCATTACATAATCATCAAAAGCGAAATAAAATTGATAACAACATTTAAAAATGTTTATTGCAATATGTACTTAGTGAAACTCTAATACTTTTTGTTTTGAGATCAATAAAAACTAAATCATCTTTACCATCACGATTTAGATCAGCTACTTTGAGTGATCGAAAACATTCATCAACAGAATTTTTATCAAGTGAAACCGAAATAGTGTCTAAAGAAAATATTCCAATTTTTGTCCCTAAATATATTTTGATAGTCTGACATGTTGTTAATACAGCTATGTCATCGATCGAATCATTGTTGAAGTTGATTCGAACAGCGGACACTGGATGACTATCAACATAATAGATTTGCTGAGAGAAACGTCCATCTCCACGAGCAAGTAGAACATGCAATCCGTTAGATTTAGGAGCCACCATTGCTATATCATCGAGTTCATCATCATTGAATCGACCTCGAACGAGTGATTGTGGTGTTCCATGAATTTGAATACTTGGGAGTTCATTGTATTTGTTGTCTCCACTAATATTGACGGCTGAAAACACATATACTTGGTCGTCAAAACTACACATACCAATATCATATAGTTTGTCATCATTATCAAAATTGCCGATTACAGCAGATTCGACATCTTCATATGAAACAAGAGGATGTATTTCTTCAAATCTATACTGACGTTTATTGTCAAAATTGAGTGCGTAAAGTTCATACATATCAACGTGCTTTTTGACGAGTCTACCAATGAGTAAATCAATAACTCCATCATAATTTAAATCAGCAGCTTCTAGTACATCAATATTGCCGTTCTTAGAGTCAGACAAACTGACCCTTTGAGGTACTGTGATGAATGAACCGTTTGACGCGGTGCCGTAAAAGATCGCTATTTCGTTTATTGCTGACAATGTTACAACTAGAAGTATTAAAATAACCTTACATTGACTAAATCGATTATAATGTTCAATATACTGATTTACTATGAAAACGCCGAAAGAAAACAGGTTGAAAAAAGTTAAGTCGAAACCAGGGATATCATTGTTGACTTGTCTCGATTCTCTTTCTGCTTATTTATATATATCTTGTTTACGTAATTTTCTTTTATAGTCATTGTTTGAACAAATATTCGAGAATACGAAGTAAACATAGAACATAAACAAATGAAATCGAGGTAACGCTTTTTGTGCGTATACATAGTGATCGTTTTCATAAATTTTAATTCATTTTCCTCGAGTTTTCGTTACGTATTCTTTCGATCTAATGTCCAACAAGAACAGTTCTATATCGTTTATTCATTCTATCAATGGTTATGTATTCAAAATGAATAAAAAGACTTCGACAAAAACCTATTGGAAATGCACGATAACAAAATGTAAAGCTCATATTCATACAAATATCAACAACAAATTTTCAAATGTAACTAGTGAACATAACCATTTACTTAAACCAAAACATTTAAAAGTCAAACAATTTCGATCGGCTCTAAAAGAACGTGTGGTGAACGAAACAGCACCGAGGTTTTCAACGGAAGTTATTGTATCATATACGTATGTTTAGAATCGTTTAAACTACAACGTCTGATGAGAATTTCTCAATTTGCGACAAATTAGTTTCTTGTAAAAAACGAATGCTCATTTTTGGTAGTTCGAAGCAACTCGAATTGTTATTCGACGTTCTACAGTTTTTCTTGATGATACATGTCGATCAACACCACCTTTATTTGAACAAGTTTTTATTATTGATCGATTAAAATTTGATTGTGTTACGATATACATTTCATCTAACAATGAACTATTTTTTATGTGCTTTAGCTTTTCTATGTGTATTTGCTCTGTTACCTAATCGGAAGAAATCGGCTTACCAGTATCTATTTCAAGAATTAACTGCTGCTGCTACAAGTATGAGTCGTTAATGGAAACCGGAACAAGTTATGTCTGATTTTGAAACCGGCCTAATTCCAGCAGTATCTGCCGAAACAAGAATAAATATTTTTGTTTACTTACAAATTATATATCGTTTTGTTTTAGTTTCGTGAAACTACTCATACTTGTTGTTATTTTCATTATAATCAATGCATCTACTGACGAGTCCAGAGTCTTGGTTTAGCAACAACTTATTCACACGATGAATCAGTCTGAAATAGTTGTCGTAAATTAATGGCAATACCTCTCTTGTCAATCAAAGAAGTGGAAATGTGGAATGTTCATAATCATCATTATCGAACGAATAGTATTTGCAAAGGTAATAATGTATGTCTTACTTTCCTAATATTCAGGAAAGGTTTTTATATTTAGGTTTCCACATTCGATTTAATCGACGGATGGAACGCACTCACGCAAACATATGGTCATCTATTCGATATATTATTGGAAAGAAAAGCCGATTTTAACACCTATATGCGCAAATTAGTACAAGTACCACACGGTGACTAGTCTCAGATTCTGTTAACCGTATTCAAAATCGAATCAAGAATCTTATTGATCGTTATAACAACAACGACATTCGTGTCGAGGAATTACTGACTGCTTTATCTTCGCTCGGTGCAAGTGAAAAATAAACTATATTATTCAAGCAGCATGTGGACCTATATATTTCTTCATTTCTTAAATAATTATTTCTGGTCGTCGTTAAATTAATTTTTCTATGTTCCTCAATGAAATAAATTAAATATAAAATAAATATCTTATTCTTTTATTTTATCTAACATTGATTTTCATCATTTCGACACTTCTTCTATCGGTCTTTTTCATTCGATGTTTTCAATACAGACCATTTTATGATCATTATTAGTAAATATAATAGATTTCTGATCATTCTCTTAGGAAGAAACTAAAAATTAGATAGGAAGACATAGGAGAAATACGAAGATTGAGAGTGAAATTATCAGCAAGGAATAATAATAATTATTCTACTCGAATTCATTTTCATTCATTTGAACATAAAGCTCTCAACTCTCATATGAAAATCTTACAGAAGCAACCGTCGTAGATTATGTTTACCTATGTCTAAAAACGTATCATTATCAAAATCACCGGATGCTATATCCCAAGGATAACTTTGATCGCCGGTTGAATAGATTTGTTGTTTTTGAAATGTTCCATTGCCATTTCCAAATAATATACTAATCGTATGATTATCGTAATTTGACACTGCTAGATCTAAAAATGAATCTTTATTAAAGTCTATGACAACAATGGACTTTGCGTTATGACCAATTGGATACATTTCAGGTTGATACACTAGAGTCATGTAACAACTTTCTAAGAATAATTAATATTATGAGTATATGTAATATTTTTCTATATCGTATACTATACCCATTGATGATTTTGTTAAGTCTGTTGTCATAGTAGTAGTTGTTATTAAAGTAGTGGTTGATGATGTATTTGTTAACATAAGATTCGTATTTATTTTTCGAATCCATATCACTGAAATTGCAACTATTCCGGTAATAACCAACAAACATAGACAAATCACAATAATTCGATCTTTTCGATTTTGAGATCTTAAATAATAATAGAGAGATATATTCATATATACGAGAATCAATTTGATATGATTTCATCACTTACGATTTAAGATATTTCTGAACTGGATTGACATTTGCCTAGAAAAATAATTAAATACAATAGACATAATTAATATAAGAAAATTAAATCACTTCAGCCGTTGTTATTAATGAATTTGAAATTATCTGAGGAGTTGTTTCATTGAAATCGATTACAATATCATCTGATTGCGGCTTCACCTTAATTTTCTTCTTATATATCAATAATTTGATTATTATTTTTGCTGTAAAAGACACAAAATAATGTAGTATTTTTGTTAAACCACCAAATATTGCTAATGTTTTCGTTATAAAATAAGCTCGATTAAAATTTGATGGATGGGAATAGCGACAGAAATTAGGAGCACATTCATTGTAATACAATTCGTATGAGATATTTTCAGACCATTCTTCGACAAATAATTCATTGAGAATTTTCTCAATTGTTTGATTTATAGAAGATGATGATGAACTATTGAGTGTCTTAACTGGAAATGGCTTTGTATAATAAATCGATGCTTGTAGTTCTTGTAAACATGTTTGGTTATATAAACAAGAGAAAGTAGATTGTAACATTGCATTTAAAGGAAAACAACCAGTGCGAAAATTTGGAAGTGTTCGTTTCATTATTTGATTTGATAATGGATAAAAATAAGTTGAAAATTTTGAACAATTCATTTGTAATGCACATGAACACTGCGACTCATCATATATTCGTGGTTTAGTTAATGCATGTAATAAAATTCGATGACTGTTTCGTTCTACTAAATCTATTGCACTGTATGAGCTATATGGTAGACTAAGAATGAAGTTCCAGTTTGATGATTGTACCGTTGCTAATTGATTTGCATTATTTGTCAATTGAAGTAGTTCAAATAATAACATGAGTTCATCACTTGTTGTTCTCTTAAATTCTTTAATTAATCCTTTTATTTGAATATCGAATTGAATAGGAGATACAATATGTGTTGTAATAAAATCCCTTTCACGCCATAATAATAATGATGAGTTTAAAATGCCTGCAGATAATGAACACATTTGTGATACAATTTTGAACTGTGATTCAATCCAAGTACGGTAATCATCATCATCAAAACTGTCTGGAATATACAATTTTTTGGACTTCCATGGTGTGTCATATCTATCAGATAACAAGAAATCGTTCGAACAAATTGAATGATAATCAGGTTTGAACTGGGTGATAAATTTGTCATATTTTACTGCAATATTAGCGCAGGAACATTGAAATGTTAATGGATATTGATTGGATAATCGTAAATATTCTGATCTAGATGGAGATTCTACTATAACTATGCTTGTTTCTTTTGATATCAATGTGTAAATAACAAGAATGAATAAGGATATAATAATTAAACTCAAATAAATTCGAGTTAAGCGTCGACTTCTTCGAATAATCTTTTCATCTTGTGACGGAGGAATTGTAGAAAAAAGATCTATTTCCACAATACATTTTTTAATATATTTGAATAAAACAAGTAGACGATTATGACAAACTAAAAATAAGAATTTCATTCATACAGATATTGTAGCAGCACTATCTAATTTATAGAAATGTGAAATTCTATAAAACTCTAGTATACTGGGTATTTCTAAATAAATATAATAGTGAATAGAGAATACAAAAATAAGTATGGCAGGAATATATGGAAATGATTTCTCATTGTTTAACTTGCAATGATAAGTAGAAAAGCTATTGATATCCTAATAATTATATAGCATGACATGTAGTTTTATTTTAACTCTTTATGGCGTGATTCGAATCATATGTTCGTTTTATTATTGTGTTAAAACATCTTTTGACTATATTTGGAACGAAATAGCAATGTTATCAATAAATCGAAATATTTCATGTTTTTTTGTATCATGAAGAATATAATCGATTTGAAAAATTAGAAATATCGCTTGGCTTAGAAATCAGACAGTCTACCAACTCTAATCCGTTACTTTTTTTGATGCGCATAGTTGAATTTTAATAGGACAGATTTTGATAGTATATTCTTTGCCTGACTGAAACCCAGCTGCTGGTATTTTAATCGAATTTTAATATTTAATTTTGGCAAATATCTATTAATTTTTAATGTTGAAAACTTGAACTAAACAAAATCTATAATGGAAAGTGTAAACTCGCTGAATTCTATGGAACTCCACCGGAATCCGCTCGAATTAATTGATATTAATGTTTCATTTCTCTCTAGATTTCAACAAATTATAAATATATGTTGTCATTTTTAAAGCGCATAAAATTGTATCTCGAACTTTGTCGTTATTTCTTTCTTTGAATTTATTATCAATATTCACTTTTTTAACACTTTTTAAAATTATATTGTATCAGTATCAGACAGATGTATACTTATATTTTCATAAATCGAGATTTAGCTCTGAATAAGTATCCCTCCGATTCTTTTCCATCTTAAACATAAGCTTAAATCCAAAGATGGGAAGACCAATAACTCTCTAATCAGTACATTCACTAAACGCATTTTTTGTAAAAACATAATAAAAAAACATTGTTCTTTTCCTTTTCTTGTCAATCTCGTTTATCTCTTTACCTGTTCTAATAGATGCGATTTCAATAATTGGTCTAATCGTGTTTCGTCGTCGAGAAATGATTGTATTCCAAATTTGAGACAATAGTTTAATAATATATGGTACTAAGAAATGTAGAACGAGATGAAGACCGCCCAAAGATCCGATATATATTGTAATAATACTAATAATATAAAATCGACTGTAATAAGTATATTGACAAGTTGATGGAGAACAGGCATCAAAATAAGATTCATAAGAACTTTTATTCTCCCATGATTGAATAAAAAGTTTATTTACTAACGAATTAATTGGATCATACGGACTTTGGTTCATTGATAATAATGATGACTTAAGTAAAGAAAAGTTTTGCGGCGAAATTAATGGATTAATTTGATTTGTAATATATGAAAAACATGTTTCGTTATAAAGACATTCTAATGTCGATAATAAAACAGATCGAAAGGGAGATACAGATTGTACCATTCCGTGAATATTCTCAACATCTTCAGCCGTTTTCCACACTACTGTTTGCAGAACACACTCGTTTGGAAGCAAGAAAAAGCAACTGACGTGCTTGTAGCTTTCATAACCATGACGAGATAAAACTTTCATAGGTCGTAAAATAACTTCACTATGACTGCTAATTTTATATGTAAAATCTGAATTGAGTGGTACAACCAATTGACTGATTTCCACATTTACTTCCATTAACTGTAATGTACGAAGATACGATTGCGATACTGTTCTTTTGAATTGCTCAATAATTAAATTCGACTGATTTTGAAAAGAAGAATTTGTGATAACTTTATTCGTAATAAATATTGTTCGATACAATGACTGAAGATTATCGTCAACCGTTTGCTTAGCTACTCGACAAAGTGTTGATAAAAGTTGAAAATACATTTTCGATTGATAACGAATATCATTGATATAGAATTCTCCCTCGGAAGAGTCAATAAATTTAAGTTCGATCCAACGAGAAGAAACAAATTGAGATGAACAGATTTCATGATATGTAACGTTAATATCAGAAATAAATTGACGATATTCCAACGATGTGTGACTACATGGACAATCAAGTGTTGATGAATATTGATCATTAAGTTCAATAAAAGTTGAGAATGATGGATCATTTTTGGTAATACTGATTATATTAGGATTGAAAGATGCATAGAATGTGAGAATAATCAAAGATATTAATTGTAAAAACAGATATAATCGAGTTTGATGACGTTGTTGACGAAGAATATTTATGTCTTCTGATGGTGGAATACTTCTGAACAAATTAAGTTCAAGTAATATCCGTTTGACATGTTGAAAGAACAATTTTATGCATCTAGTTGATGACATTACTGAAACAAATCATGAATATTCGTGTGCACATGTAGCTATGAATGAAAAGTTTCATGACAAGCTATTTTCTGAGTTACGAGATTTCAATGAATAGGGACTTGCACAGAGTTCTAATCTCTCGATATTTCACAATCTAAGTTCTTGAAAACTGGAACTCAGATTGATTATGATTGACAGCAGACTTGACAGATTAATTTCATGTTTCCTCTATCTTACGAGGGAACATATCGAGGTGTTTAAGCCCTTAAGATCCCATCTGTTGGCCATAAGTAGACTTCAATGAAGTATGAAAAATCTAAAAATGATTCGTGCCCTCGCTTCTTAAATCCTGAGATATCGGCTTTTGAAAGGATTTTTTCCTACGGAAATGCGAAACCACAGAATTTGATGTCACTCGATGACTTTTTCAAACAATCTAGGTTGCCTACAATGTTTCTCACAAATTGTAATGATTCAAAAAGTTCTTGTGTAGGAGGGGCGCTGAGAATTCGCAATCTCATGAATGGAGGAACTAGCGCACGAATCCTTTTTAGGTTTTTTAGAGGGCTGCGCAAATACAAGTACAATTTGTACTATACTTTACATGTCAATTTTATACATAAAGTACTACATTGTGCAATGCCTTACGAGATACTTGTTTTACTTAACGGTATCAGATTCGCTCATTATGCACTCGTCTATGCTCTTTTGTATTGAACTTACTTTGGGTTCAAACCCCGGAATCGGTTAGCTTGTATTCTGATGTACTGTCATGCATTGATCCTACTTTAGGTCTGTAAGCTATAGGAGTATGAGAATGCTTGTATCGATTGGATAGAATGTCATATCCATATTCATCACCATTTATAGATTATACCCAGGGAAGTTAAACTAAATAATGGAAAAGCGCTTGTTGCTTGATGCGTTTACATGCAAGTCGAGTAAGATGGAGTAAATGAGGATGTTAAGAGAGTGTTGTAAATACTATGTATATAAAATCGAATGCAATTCGTATTTGTATTTACGCATCTTTTTCTAAGACTGTATTCTCTTAAAACTAATGTTCAGCTATTGCACTAAGCAAAGATAAAATATTTTGAATTTTTCTTTACTTCAATGTGGACATACCATCTAAATATCTGAACCATATGAAAGAAGCTCTCACTCAGAGTTGTAATCGGTCCGATTGAAATGATCCGACAAAACATCCCTTGTACTTCTCAGGTTGCTGCCGAAAAATAAATTTTACGACTCGTTCACTAAGCGATTATTTTTGAGTGAAACACATTTCAGACAAGCTTAAGTCGTTCCATTAATATATTGATAACAAAACTCGGCTGAAACGTATGAAAAACAATCACCTTTAAAGTCTTTTCTTTAACCAGTAATGCATGACTTAACAAATTAATCAAGTTTTGTCAGTTTTCACCGATCTGAAAAGTTTTCTTAGACCGATCGAAGCGGATCAGCTACAACTCTACTCTCACTCGTCACTGAATGGGTTCGAATAAGACTCTGTTTTATCCTTATAATCTTACTATACTACAGTAACAGATAGATAAAGCGCTACGAGGTCGAGTTTTTCATCCATATAAGAGTTGGATTCAAATCGAATAAAAGTATTAATATTTGGCTGACGACAGAATAGTTTATTGTATATAGATTACCTGGTGTAATTCTAACTGCAGCTATATGCAAAGTGGATGATCGTTTTTGACAGATTTTTTTTCGAATAATTGGCCATATTCTATTGATGAAAATTGGTACGAATACTCTTAATGTTTTTGGTAATCCTTGAAATAAACTAATCATTAATATGAGAATATCCAAAACACTATAATGTTGCATTTTTATATAAGAACATAATTCAGGTGCACAACTTTGAAAATATTTATCATATGATGTTTGATTTAACCAAGACTGAACAAACATTTTATCAAGTAGCCTTTTAATTGTCCAGTTTGAATTAGATGTGTTGAGTGTTTTTAAATTTATTGATGAATTGGTCAACATATCAATGAATGTTTGATTGTAAAATGCTTCAAGAGTAGAATTCATCAGTGCATTTAACATATAGCAGCCAGTTTGAAAGCCAGATACAACAATACCGTCAAATATTGCAAGACCCATACAATTTGTAGCAGTAGAACTCGAGCAAATACAGCTGGTGCCATCCATAAATGTATAATTTATTCCAGGATACGGTAAATATCCTTCTAATTTATGTCCATTGAATAAGCGTAGGATTGGTTGAACACTAGTGATTGAGGCACCTGTCATAAATAAGCTTTGTGCTGTTACATCTTGCATAAAACTTAATGTTCTTATGAATGATTTTGATATTTTATGAATGAATTCATTGATAACAGAACTAATCTGAGCTTGAAAAATATCTGGTGATACTAGTTGAAATTGAACAAAATCTGTATATTTGAATGATCGAAGATTATTATCAATAGTCTTTTTCGTTAATTGACATAAAGAGTGAAGTGTTTGAAATTGAAATACACCTATTCGACGAAAATCAATTTGATCTGATTTATTCCAACTTTGCTCATATAAACGAAATAAATGATTGATCCATTTGTCTGACACAAATTCGCTTTCACACAATTCATAATAAAAAGGTATAATTCGAGTGAAATTTTCATATTTTATTGCTATGTTTGTACATGGACATTGTAATGATGCTTCTTCTTTGACAGTTAGATATTCACTTAATGAAGGAGATTGAAGCACAATGGTTTTAGGATAATATATAATACTGTAATATTGTATTGCAATCAATATTGATATTATAAGAAGAACTAAGTAAAGACGAGTTGATCGACGTTCATTTCGTATGTTAATTTCATTGTGAGTGCCAGTATTGAATAGATTCAATTCAAGTAAGTATGATTTGAATGAGTGAAGGAGACGACGGAAATTCTTTTTAAGTGGTATCTTTTTTTTCATCATGTATTCATGTGAAAATTTTATATCTATCTAACTAAAGAACTAATCGAATAATTTTGCAAGAAGTTATCAGTTTTATTTAATGCCTGCCATCAAATATAATCGCATTATCAAAGACTCAATGATATGTTTTATTATTTCACATAAAAAGAAAATCAACATTTGATTTGCGAAAACTCTTCCAATGTCATACCTCTTCATCTATACAAAATGTTATTTATTTAAAATTTCCTTCGAAAATATTTGGTTCAATAGGTAGTCAGAGTCAGAGATGTCCATGATGGCGCCGCCACTGCCGTACCGCTCCCCCATAGCGATAGCGGCACATTTCCAGCCATCATGGACATCTCTGGTCAGAATATCGAATGATAGATTTTTACGAGATTTTCTCTCTTGATATTAGATGAATTCCATGTGCAAAAAAAATTGAAAGATATATTACAACACACCCTCTAGATTAATTGATAAACTAGCGTAATCCAGATTTTAGTCAATGGGTTTTTGTTATGATGGCTTCCAACCCGCAATAAAGGTTTGAAAACAATTTCTAGAACCTCACTCCAATTTTAGGTTTTCGAAGTGAAAAAGTCTTGTATTGTATCGTCGAGACTTGTTTAACAAGTTGGTCCTCTACTATGGGAAAGGTTTATACACACTATATAATTCATTGTACTCCAGGCCAATGTTTTATGAATACATTTAACGAGAATTTGAAGAAATATAGCCCGATACGATTCCGGATTAAGAAGTATTTCGCTACTGAAACTCTTTGATTCCAGAAAAAAAGCGAAATGAGGGGTGGCATATTTACTTTAATCTGCAGTTATGCGACCAAAGTAAAGTATCATTCTGAAGGGGGATCGTTGAACGGCAGAGTCTGTCTGGTATACACAGGGGCATAGACCCTAAATCACACTACAACAGAAATCCCCAGATCTTTCATTATGACTGTAGAAAATTTTTGTCTTTTTATTCATGAGAAAAAAATTCTTTTGAGCGACTGTCTACCTTGACTTCAGAGAGCTTCCATTAAAAACCAGAGAGAAGACCAAAAAGAAAACTCTGTATCTTCCTCCACCTTCGGACTCGGCCACCAGAGAACGAATCTTAATATTCGGAAGTAGGGCGAACGCAACACCCTCGTCCACTCAAACTTTCTCAGAGTAGAAATGACAAGGTCTCCTTCCTAGGTATGTCTCTGGATGTACAATGATCATAGTTTGCAGCTTATTAAAATTACTATCGAATGATATAAAAATCATATTGGCTGAAAGAAATATTGAAACATAATGATAGGTCATGATTCTCAGTAAAATATACTCTATACCTGACATCGGTAATGGACATTTCAATTGTCTTGAGTAGAAGAGAAACAAGCAATATACGAGTAATTTGTTTAGGACCAAATAAGAGCACTTTATTTCATGATTTACTATAGAAAAAAGTCAGATTACTATTTGGGGCTAATTCTACTGCTTAAAGGCTCCAGTTAGGGAGTAGCGAGTTAATCCGGGCCCCAGAAGACGTGGACCCGCAACTCTCTAAAAGCTCCGCTGTTTTTTTATCAGTCTTCACAGTAATTTTTAAAAGAAGAAACGTCTTAATCGGGATTCTATAGATACGTCAAAGATATTCAGACTACTAATGTCCCAAATAACATTGTGTGAACTTTCGATGTAAGTTAGAAATCACAACATAGTGATATCTATCTATTGTTCCACTATCTCTAATGCTCTATTTTCGTTCTAAATATACATCTAATTCTTTCACTATTTTGCTCAAGATATTCTATTATATTTGTTAGACTTTTTCTTTCAGGCTTTTTTATTTATAGGAAACAATTGATTTCTGAGATATATTCATTTGAAGATGAGGGCGTTCATAATATACAGAGACAGCAATAATTTCCATACAAATACTTATCTTTCTCATGTGAAATTGACTTTTTCGAATAAATTAATGTAAAATGTGCTACACAACACGATATGCGCTATTTCTAAATAAATTAGAAAAGAGAATGTTGTACTTTTATCTATTTCTTTATATGATTTTTTTCAAAAGAGAGTAGGTGTAGAATATGACTTTCAGATAAGCATATGAATATATATACATTTTATTAAAATAAAAAAGAACGGAAAAGCTGTATTTTATAGATAAATATAAATATTATTTATCTGGTAATTATGTAAAACAAACCTATGACATACAGATTTAAACAAAAACAGCTTCAAATCTACAAATCAAATGTTGAATCAAATAGAAACTTCGATATTGAGAGATTATTTTCAAATAGAATTTTCAGTTAAATGTTGTAATAATCTATGTCAAAAAAGTCTTGAGACAAAATGTTTATTTATTTCCTCCACTGAAAGGAGGGTCATGTCGAAAAAAAGTGGTCAAAAAACGAAAATTCGTTTGTGCGTGTGTCTGTCGCAGGTCGAAGGTCAAAGGTCAAAAAAACATTTTGTCCAAAAACGCTCAAAACTCCATAAAACATGGTTTGGGAGGAGTGTTGATGGTGGATGTTCGTCGGAGAAAGCATCGAGATTAACTGTGACAGTGAAGGCGGCCGACGGCCGTCTGAGCGCTCCCAGAGAACACTCCACGCGTGGTATACATTTATGGGTGTTGCAGTGGCTACAGGGAATCGATGGAGTCAATCAGTAGCGATGCAGGCTTTGANTTATATATAAAAAAACTTCCACTTCAAACCTTTCCACAAAGAACAAAATTCGACTTTACCATCAAATTCTCACTTCCCCTGCACATATACCGATGTCTACCAAATCTAACAACATACTCGTGAGCCTTTCTCCATCTAACAATGTAATTTCTGAGCATGACATCTCCTTTCTCCCTGCGAGAAACAATTCCTCCTTCAGAAAAAACTACGATCGATATCTACAATCGATAGTATAAGCGACCTCCCAGGTAAGGTTCACACCCACAATCCATACATCTTCAACTGCGCATATCTGCGAACATGGAGGAGAGCGTTTCTCCCTTTCGGAATCGCAATTTCAACCATCGAAATACAGATTCTGACTCGGAATGAGCAGCTCTATTTGATGGAAAAACACCCGAAACGATATGTACGATGGTGGCGAACTTCGGATCCGAAATCGAAATTTTCATTTCCTCTGCTGCTACACGGGTGCATTGTGTGTGCGAACATCGAGGAGAACATTGGTTCGTGTGAGGATATCTGTGTATAGGTGAAAATGAGGAATGCGATTTCGATTTAATTGCTCTGTATAATGGTATAATTTTGAATGGAGGATTTTAGGATATAGTAGTAGATAGGATAAGAGAAAATTTCTTTTTTTAATGTTCGCTACATTTGATGCAGTTTTAGGGGGTTGGATCTGTGGATACTCTTGGGTGTGAGTATTTGGCTGTGGAAGGTGAGTTGGATGGAAGTGGATAATTAGTCGGAGTGAATATACTTGTGAAGGTGAACATGCAATTATAATAATGGTTGGTCTGATCGTGAGGGTATGGGATGAAAGCACGTTATGTGTGCACGTATCATGGTTTGTTATCACGATTGTGTAAGAGATTATGCGGGTATATGCGCTGTCAGTTGGACGTGTTGAAACTAATTTCATTCATTTACGATTTCGGTTTGGTGAAGCTGGTTGCTCGTCACTGTGTTGGAAGTCGCTCGGCATTCTTGTTGAATCGTCCTCTGTGAAATTAAAGTGTAATACTGTTTTGGATAAATTCCATTCATTATAATGTAAGTTTTCAAGTTGAGAAATTATGTGGTTGACGAAATCAGTGGAGATAAACTCGAGGTTGAGATAGAATGTAGCTTTTTTTCTAATTGATTTCCTTTTCATTTTGATTTAGTATGGGCCCATATATTTCGAAGGTCTCAAGCTATGATACGCAAATTATTGCATACGATT